GCGCATATGCGTACTATGCGCATAGTGCGCATAGTACGCATAGTGATGAACTATGCGCGCATTTGCCCATCTCTAATCACACCCCCAATGATCCAGACCCGGTCTTGTACATAGGTAAAGCCCCGGTATAACTGTGTATTGTACCATCCCGTGATTCAGATCCGGTATTTTATGCTCGATTAAGAAAATTCGATTCATATGATAAAAATAATAAAATATAAATCAAATTGATATTATATTTTTATGAGTTTAGGTTACTACATGTCATTATTATTATATTCTCCATTAAATATATCCCCCATTTAATATACCCCCAATATAAAAGACCCTCGCTCCTTATAACATACCCACCTGGTATAAATCAATTTACACGAGGATAGAATGTAAGAGACCCGGGGTAGCTTGCACGGCGTTTTATGAAGATTTTAAACTTTTTTGTTTGAAAGCTAAATTTTTCAAGAATTTAAAAATTTTTATTTTTATTTTTATTTTGCTTGATATTTAAAATTTAAACGGTCCACAATATTCTGCTAGGGCTCTGTATATCACCATAATGAAAAGTATCCAGAAAAGAATAGATTAATTTTTCCTTTTTAAAATAAATTATTTGCTAATAAGCTTTGAATTAAATTCATGATCGTTAAAATTATTTCTGTTCAGTAAAAAGCTATTCTGTGCTATAATTTTTTGAAATATGCATGTTTCTTTTTTGATTCTTTTTATGTCAAATTTTTCTTTTTATATTTGCTATACATGTATAGTCAAACTTCTCTATAATCACACGGTCATAATTTACTATGATCAGATTTTGCATGTTATCGTTATCGTTATTAAATGACTTTAATTAAAATATCCATTTCATCAGTTTTGCTTTTAACACAAATGGTGTGCATAGAGGGATAAAAACGTACATGTGCATACATGAATTTGAGCTATCCTTTTTCTAATTTAGTCCATTTTGTTTTTACAATTTTTAATAAGTTGCTTGCCTGATCATTTTAATAGCAACATAGCAACACAGCAGCAGCAACAACAACAAAGACAAGAAAAAAATGCATTAAAAGAACATCTTTTTTTGCCTGGAATTATGTATGTGCATATCGAAAGAAACTTCCTCTAAATACAACCTTGTCTTGGTTCTGAACAATCGTAATGAATTATAGAAACTAATGTATTTTCCAAAATGTAACCTTTGCTTGGTATCAAGTAAATTAGTGCAATACACGTGTATATTGGAAGATTTTAAATAAAGATCAGTTTCTCAATTAATGACTAAATATGTACTCGTATTTAATTTAATTAAAATATTTTGATAAAACACAACATATATATACGTGGATTTATTAAAAATATAAACGCAAGAGTGGCTGATCCTTGCATTTATGGAGGCTGACTGGCGTCTCTAACAAAAAAAGAAAGATTAATGCTAAAGGATGAATTCACACGTGTGTCGTTTCCTAATCGTAATGTATTAAAATCATTTCTAACGTTAGCGCGAGTTTCATCCCTCGAAAAATAGTTAACTGTCTATATGCGATAATTCTATCGGTATGTGGATCTAAAGTTAAACATAGATAGACATGCATCACATAACGATAAGGAAAAATAGAACAACACTCCTACAAGTACAAACAAATCCATAAATGTCATTTTGTTAAATTCAATAAAAGAGGCGCGTATTTAAGACGAAGAGCCGATTTTTAATACAAGGTGTGAAAATCAAATCTTGAAAAATTGTATTAGTAAGATAATCAAAGTAGTACATGGGCTACTGCTTTGCCAATTTTGTGTCATAAGTAATTTTATTATTATCTTTAAAAATTTCAATAGCAAACTAATTATTTATTGTATAATTTAGACTTTATGAATATATCATACTGTCAAGCTATCAAAATTATACCATATGCACTTGTATTTGATCAAGATCCCTACTGTTATTTTTCTTTGCTTGAAGAACTCAAACATCAAGGATTTGAAAATGAAGAAGATCTTCCAGAATCTTTTACCAATGCTCTTGAAGAAAAAGCAAGAGAAATGAGTAAATAAACAAGAAGATAATGGTTTCTTTCATGTTCAAGGACAAGAAGATGATGTCGATAACCAAGACACCAATGCTCAGACTCAAGCAGAACAAGATATGGCAAATCAAACCAGTGCAAAAAAAGAAACATATTCAATTTAATGTTTCAAACAAAAAAAACTAACCTAATATAAACGAGGTAATTATTATAAGTTTATTATTTTATAAAATCCAATTTTTAATATAGTTTTTTATAGGATCCATTTGAAAAAATAGAAAATGTCCACCAAACAACACATTATTTTGTTCGTGCTTTAGCAAATGCTAATTTAGAACATTATCCTCACAATTTGGAGCGAGAAATGGTTGCCAGAAATCATCACAAACATCCATTAAACTATAAAAAAAATGATCTCGTCATTCTTGCAATTCCCAAAATTGACCGAAGCAATACTGATCCAACTTTACCATGCAAGATTATTGAAAAACTTTCCAGTGGCAAGTATAAATTAGGTTGTAAAAATGGTATTTTTTCGAAGCAAATGAGCTTATGCCACTTGGAGTAATAGTTTTGCTCTGATACCTTTGAACAAAATTAGCATTCGTAATGCCGCAAATCTTCAAGCTATGGCAGCTACACAGGAACAAAATATAGTTGTGCTGGCGCATATGATTCATATAAATGTTGATGTAAAAAAGCTAAAGTACCATGTAATAGTGGTTGTCATCCAAAATCGACTAAATGTACTAATCAAGATTAGTTAGATTAATAAATTTTTTACCATCATTATTCTAGCCAGCCAGAATGTCGACTGACAATCTGGCCAGCCAGATCGACGATGACAAATTGGGTCCGACATATATAAATGGAAATCTTCATAGCTATATACATGTACATAATTTATATCTTTCAAATAATTATTCTATTTTAAGATACAACGACAAGAATACATGTATAATTAATGTGGGTTTATAATTTTGATTCCAAAAGTATTACTTACATTATATTAAAATGTAAATATTTTATAATTAATAATTGAAAAAATTTCCTATTTTTAAGAAAGGGTTTATATTAAGTGAATGTCTTGCTCAACTTTCAACCTCATATCCACAGACGAATCAAACCTCTTTAACATTCCATAATTCAGCAATTCTTTAGTGTTTTCAACATGGTTAACGGATTTTGGCTGTCGAAAAATCTTCTATTAGCCTCTTATGCATCATATATTTCGAATAATCTCCTTCCATTATCTTCGTCATTTCTAATGGAGTCTCCTTATGTAGTACCACAAAAATTATATCAAAAAGCTGTATAAAAATTCAAAGTCCAGCTTTTTGGATCATCTTGTAATGAAAAATTTTAACTTTATTGTAATTTTCAATATTTGATCAATCACTTCACTCTTTTGCAAATGCTTTTCTTGGAAATGGTCTGGATTTTCACATAAAAATGACTAATTTAATTAAATATACTTTTAAATTTATAATCAAAGTGTTTGCAAAGATCTCGCAAAAAATGATAAATGAACAATTACGACGAACAGGGTTATGAACAATGGTCAACTACTGTCAGGTTATAATAAATCCAATTTTCAATTTCTGTAATGCCGAATCGTCATAATATGATCTTTGTCAGATACATTTCCAAATCATGTCTATTACAAAACTCATTAAACAATTTTATAAATTATAATTTTCTGGAATTTTGCTGATCTCCTTCCATAAGTACCTCATCAACTTGCCATATATACAGTGGCGATCAAAAGTAATGCAACGCAAAATTAAAAATCATTAAATCATGATATATTTATAAGTAGCTAACAAAATTTAAATAAAATTAATAAATATGGTACATTAATAGTACCAGTTTTATTTAATAAAATTTAATTTACTATTATTAAACATAATTTCAAGATAAATACGTAAACTTGCACAAATTAGTGTTGCATTTCTTTTGATCTTTTATTCAGAAAATCAAATGATAAGTAAATGCTACACAGAAGTTGCAAAATAAACAACTGTTTTGTTTATCTTTTTTTTTCTTAAATTATGTTACAGCTTTTTAATAATAAAAAACAAACATCAAAACATTATACAACTCTTGAAGAAAGAGCTGAAATAATCATTTCACTTCAAAATGGATACACTACAAGAGAAATAGCAAGAACTTGTAAAATTAGTTCTTCTACCATCTCACATATTAATAAAAAATAGCGTGAACAATGCATTTTAAATGATTTAAGTAAGTCTGGTCATTCATGATTATTAAATGATTGGTTAGAAAGAACAACAGTCCATCTTATTACATTCTGTAACTGCTCCACTGCCATTACCATCCAAAATCATCTTCGTGAAACTGAAAATATTGAAATTTCAGAGCATACTATTCATCGTACACTAAAAAAAAATAATTTAGTAGTGAGAATAAAACAAAAAAAACCATATCTAAAGTCTGAACATCAACAACATCATCTTGAGTTCACCAAAAAATATAAAAACTGGACCTATAAAGATTGATCAAAGATAATCTGGTCTGATGAATCTAAATTTCAGATTTTTAAATCTGATGGAAAATAATATTATTAGAAAAGAATAGGTGAGTCATTAAAAAGTCATCATATTAAACCTATGGTAAAATTTGGGGGTGGAAAAGTAATAGTATGGAATTATTTTACCTTTCATGATGTCAGTAACTTTTGTAAAATCGATAGAAACATGAATGGCATATTATATCAACAAATTCTTAAAGAAAATCTTATGAATACTATTGAAGAATATGAGTTAGCTATCAATAAGATCATTTTCCAACAGGATAATAATTCTAAACATACAGCCAATTTAACAAAAGAGTGATTTGATAATAATAATATTATTATTTTAGATTGACCAGTATAATTACCTGATCTAAATCTAATTAAACATTTATGGAATGAAGTAGATCATCATCTTCAATGTCTTCCTGAATTAATTTTGGGTACAGAAGACTTATGGAAAAAAATACAACTGGTTTGGGAGAAAATTGATGTGGATTATTATACAAATTTAATTCATTTTATGTCAGAAAGGATTTGTGATGTAATAAAAGCACATGGTGATTATACTAGATGGTAGTATATCAGATATAGTTAAAAAATAAAAAAATATGATATTTTTATTTTATATTAAGGGTTATATAAATTTATATTAAAAATGAGTAAATGTAATGTAATACTAAAAATTGAATAAATGTTGTGATTGTAATATAATTAGTTTAATTATCCATATTAAATTTATCATATTTAAGTTATTTGCATATACATAATTAAATCTATTAACTATAATTTGATATTCTTAAGTCTGTGCAAAGATATCACAATTTAATAATTTTTAATTTTATGTTATATTACTTTTAATCGCTACTGTATATATATACTGATGATTTATAATATTAATTCTGATTTTTTTGCTGTAATAATTTTTTGATTAGAACACAAAAAGTGATTTCATAGTGATAGATAAAATTTCAAGATAACATTAGTTTTGAATTTTTCATATTGATCTTGTGATTTGAATAGTTTACCTTTTGAAATTCATACCAAAATTTTACTTTGTATATCAATATTGATACCACCTTGTAAAATTCTTACTTGGCACTCATAAGAATATTGCAAGTGATGGAATCTTAAAAAAATAAGATGAAGATATATGCATATGTATGAAGTAGATATTATACTAATTTTTAAATATACATGTATTGTATTACTATTGCTATTAACATTATTATTTTTTATTCACATGATGCAATTATATTCATAAATTAAGAAAAAAGTTATCATATATTAGATAAATTACCATAATAGAAATTCTATCCAAGAAAAATTAGATTCTTTAGAAAGTTATAATAATGAAATTTATTTGTCAAAGATAAACTAAAGAGAACTGTCAATTGCTGATATTCTAGAAAGCTAATATTGTGCAAGTGCATATAAAATGATATTATTCCAAGAGAGATTGGACCAATTTTTAATTTAAAGCATAAGCAGTAAGAAAAATCAAGTAACTCAAATTATATCAAAAATTAAATATAGAGAAATTTAATATCACTAAAAAAAGTATATTAATTCAAATTTTTTTTATAGATCAGGCCATCACATCTATAAAAAAGTACATTGAAAGTGAGCATGATGATTATTATAAAAAAGAACATCAAGAAACTCTGATACTCCAGGAATTAATAGTTTTACAAGAGCTTATGAATGGTTCAAGTAAGATAATGAAATTATTTAGATAATAAATAGATTCTTTAATCAGTTAATAAACTTCTAAATCTGACATGAGATATTAATTAAAAATAATGAGATAATAATTTTAACCTTGAACCCAATCTATTAAACATTATCTTGTCATATTTTATATTCACTCTTTAAATACGTAAATATACTTTAAGTAGTTTTGAAACTTTTGTATTAGATATATCTGATGATAATAATAATACATGATATTTCAGATGATTTGCTAATAAAGATAAATAAGCTATATATGTTTGGGATTTGCTCAGATGACAACAATATTTAATTTTATAAATTTTCTAATAATAAATTCTCCAAGTACTGTATTCATAATATGTTGAAAAGTAGCTGGAGCATTATATAATCCAAAAGGCATGATATTAAATTCAAATAGTTCTTCTCTGGAGATGAAAGTGATTTTGGATTTATCTTCTTCTTTCATTTCAATTTGCCAGTATCCAGAGATTAAGTCTATAGATGAAAACCAGTGAGCATTTCCAAGAGAGTCCATTATTTCATTAATTCTTGATAATGAATATGCATCTTTTTGAGTAATGGTATTTATTTTTTGGTAATCAATACAAAATCTTTTCTTTCTATTCTTTTTAGAAACTATAACAATAGGTGAAGCCCAAGAACTAGTTGATGGTCAGATAATATTAGCTTTTAACATTCTTTGAATTTCTTCTGATATGAATAATTGATTAGGAAGAGTAGTTCTATAAGATTATTATTTAATAGGTAATTTATTTTCAGTATGTATCTCATGTTAAATTATATTACTTCTTCCAAGTTCATGTAATCAGTTGCAAATATATCAGTATTATCTTCTAATAGTTGAGTTAGAAGTTATTCTTGTTTGGCTGTTAATTTTCATTGTTCAATAACTTTTTCTTCTTGTTCTTATTCCAAAAAATAGGTATAAGCTTTTTGATAGTCAGTAAATCCAAATCCAGCTATTTCTTGACTAGATTGTTCAAGTTCTTCTCTAATAGAAACTGATTTGAGTTAATCAATAGATGTAAGTTAAAAAAATACAAGTTGAGCAATTTTCTGATCTGATTCAATAATATAAGCTTTTTCTGAATCATTTTAAATAATGATACTGATATTTTCAATATATCCTGAGTTAATAATTCCACCTTTAATATTGATTCCTTATTTTGTGAGAGATGAGTGAGATATTACTTGATATATAACTCTTACAGAAATTTCTATAGTAATATATATATTTACTAATATGACTTGATGTGAAAGAATTCTAATTACTTCTTTTCCAGTATAATAAATATTATATTTAGCATCAGTAGGATATGCTTTTTCTGGTAATTTTTCTTTATCTTGATTATTATAAACTTTAACTATATAGTAGCTATTATTTTGTTCTACAAGAGTATCCTTTAAATAATTGTTAAATTATTGTAAAAGTTCATTAAGAGCTTGATAAATAATATTGAATCTTTCATATATTTCATTCAATTCGAGTTGAGAAGACTGAGTTAAGATAGGAGTAAAACTGATTTCTTTAATTAATTTATTGGTTACTACTTCTTCTAAGATCAGTTCCAATATTATAGGATATTTTCCTTTATCTACTTTAACTGGAAGTTCAAATTATACATAATCATCACATTTATTATTATCACAAGAAATTAAGTATTCTTGACAAAGTTTCATATTGATATAATTCAAGCGAGCAAGCTGTTATCTTCAATTAGAACTGAGTTATTGATAAATGTATTGAAATATTTCAGCAACAGAGGCTTTTACAGAATCCTTATAGATGATTTCTTGAATATAGTCATCTTTATACATAAAGTGAGATAAAATTGCATTGCCAATTTCATCACATTCATTATAAACTTCCAATAGTATTTCTTAATTTCTAAGC